GGCCATCCCTGCTAACCAAATCAAAGGACTTTGTGAGATCTATGAAGGCCAGGAAATGGCCTGATATTACTGCAAAATATTGTGCCCACAAGGAAAAAAAAGCACCAAGCTTTATATAGCAAAGGGCAGCCTGAATGTTGACAACACCAATGGCAGCAGTGAAGATAGTCTACAGGATACCCTCTGCTCACTACCAGTCATACTTGTTGAAAAACAGCCCTGACAATTGCTCTGTCTTAGAGTTAAAAGTGGTTAACTAATGAAAAAAGGAATCAGTTTCTGGGAATTTCCCCTTGTGTGGTGTCATTTTGTGAATGGCAGCAAACAGAAGAGAGTATCAATTTATATGAGCTATTTTAAATCTGGGAAGGTTTTAGGGTCATTTGTTTCTGCACAGGGGGGGAACAGTTTTACTTTTTAAAAAACTGTAACTCAAAAACCCTTTGTCCAGAAACTTCCCCAAATTTGACACAGAGCAAGAGCAAACTATATGGTACATCTGTGCCCAATTTGGTGTGATCTGAGGTTCTGCTTCAAAGTTATAATTGTTTGGGGTGTCCCCATTTTTTGAGTTGCCTTACGGAATGTTGATTTGAACTGTTGCACAATATCTATAGCTGCACTCTTGTGCAGCAATAACATTAGTAATATCCACTACAACAGAAAACAAATTAAAGACAACATTCAACAGCCTAGTCCTGTAGCAGCCCATAGTTTCTCCAACCATAAATTGCAAATCACCACTGTCAAATAACTGGGCCAGTTTCGAATGATAGATAATTCAGAGCATTATATAGGAATTCATTTCAGTACCACATAAAATATTTATTGTATCTACAAGTATGAAAAAGGTATACTGCAACAAAGTGAAAAACAGATACAGCTGGTCAGTGTGACTCTATATTTTACTACCTGATGACACAGTAAACTACAAGCTCACACTTCCATCAAATCACATAGACAAAACTGTGGTAAAAGAGGTCTTGATGGAGCTTCCCTCTTGCATCAGCCCATACATTCCAAGGAAGAGCTCTTCCAGTATGGATGGCATACCAAGAGAAAATAAGGTAATAACTTGTACCAATGTGAATAGACCGTATCACTTCATATATCAGGTCTGTCTCCCTCGAACTGGCGTGTCAAACAGGGTTCCTTTTAGTACCTTCTGCTTCCCAAGCTGCTAGGTGAAGTCGGTCTCGGGTTGCGCTACCCAAAATGTCACGTGGCACAGGTTCCATCTTGGCATCCATGTTCTCCAGCTGTGGTAAATGGCTTTCACCCATCATAGCTTTCTGAAAAGCCTGATTCAACTCTTCCAGGTCCATGGCTTTCAGCTCTGTACAGAGTTCCTGCTGCTGTGGCACACTCAGCTCCTCCCAGAACTGAAGCAGATGGCTCTGCCTTGCTTTAGCCAACTGGTGCTGGAGTGCATGGACATCCCCGTCGTTGTCCATATCCTGTGGAAGGGAAGAAAATCGGGAACATAAAATTTTCTAAAAGAAATTATGCTTGAACATACACTGTATTTATTATTATCAGCATTAATCTTGGTGTTAACTACAGCTGGCTGCAGTTTTCAAAAAAGAACAGGTGTGTGCTGATGTCAATATAAATCCTGCAACGTATATTTAAAAGTCCATCTACTCATCCACTGCTCTCAAGAAATTATCATTAAGTCCAGCAATATTCAAGTGAACAGTTCCCTAGAGGAAAATGTTCCTTGTTCAGCTTGTTGAATCTAACTGTGCCCTCCCCCCCCCCAATTCATTTTTCATACCTTTGGTTTAACACATAATGCAGCACTACAAAAATATGCTAAGGCCTCAAGCACATGCAGCAAGCACATGCATGGCAGAGTTCATATAGTTCTTCTGTAAGAAAGAAGTATTTCAATCAAGCAAGTTCATGTGGGATCAGAGGCTTCATATTTTCTTTTCTGAATGAGGGGTGCTCACTGCCTGTCTACTGAAGTTCTGCCACTGACAGTTACCCTCCAACAGATGGCAAGCACTGTTCAAGCTGGCAGCAGTAATCTTTCTTAAGTGGGACATCCAGGCACTGGGCATGATCTTGTGCTCTCATTTCAGGGCAGCCATTAGCAACCAAAAGAGTTAACTGGAGTGAAAAATACTAATTCCAATTGAGCAAGAGACTCTTAAGCAAAATACACAAACACTAAAAGCACCCACCAGCCCAAAGTACAGACAGCCAACTGGATAGCCTGACGCCTCACCAACCTGTGCATACTGATTTTGCCCTAAGCAGAGCTGATCAAAAGCACGCACGCACATCTGGCAAGCTTCAAGAGGGTACCCGCAATTTCACCTCGCCTCCCCACCTTGACTAGCCATCATTTAAAAACACCAATTATAGGTAGTTTCACAAATTGGAAGGATTTGGCAGGGAAAGCATTTTACCAGCATACGTTTACAGGGGGCCCAAAGACCATAACTCATATTAGCAATACCAAATAGAGGTATTCTCCAAATAGAGGACCTGGATGGGCTCCAGAGAGCTGTTCCGTTGATCTATTAAACAGTGTAAATAGCATTTATATACCTATGGGTAGGAGCTACCCTACAGCCAAACAAACCCATGTGCAAGACACGTAAGCACAGTCGGGCAAATCATTCACAACTTCCAGCTTGATAATATGAATAGTTTCTTAGAAATAAATCCCACTCTATTCAATCAGCCATATACAAAGGTGTGTGTGTGTCCAAAAATGCGGCTGAATTATCTACCATACCACACGTCCATCTGCTTCCTCCTCTACCACATGAAACTATTATGCCCTGGCATGAAAAAGGAATGCATTAAAAGGATAAACTCCATCTTCAAGACAAAAACGTGCCTCTTGGCTATAGTAACTCTGTAAACTATCATCCAATACCTTAAAGGAAATTGTTTCATTAAGCACAGAGTATTGTATTATTAGAAATTATAACAAGAATTAATATAAGATCACTAGATGACTAGATGACAGCATGACCAGAAATTTTGTTAAGGTCAACACCATTATTCAAAACACTAGAAATTTTGTACTGTGGGCTCAGCTTTAATAAACCAACAGCACAAGCAACTGAGCTTTCTTCCTTTCATCGGCATCCACTCCTTCGGCCACAAAAAGCGTAATCCCTCCATTTGCCAAACGCATCCCCCCCCCACACCCCAGTTTTCAGCCCAGCTCCCTTGCCCCGGATAGGCTAGAGACGCAGCCCCCAAACCTTTCTCGCGCTGCGCGGCCAACAGCCACCACGACGCTACACCCGACCTCTTGCCAGCCTCTCGCTGTTCTCCTTCCTCTTACGACCAACCCATTTAGAGCTCCTTCACAAGGCCCGCCCCCCCTTCGGTTCGGCCTAACCAATAGCTTACGAGAGAGGAGGAGCCCACAGCCGAAACGTACAGTAAATGTCTCCCAGTTCGAGGGTGGGGGATATCACTGGATGGCTGCCACGTCACGCCCAAGCGGAACAGCCACGCAACGCTATTGGCTGGACGCCAGAGACGGGCGGGTGAGAGTGGGGAAAGGTCAGGGTTGGGAGGGACGCGGAATTTATGCGGCGTCTCCCGACGTCCGTTGCTTGAGCAACTGCAGCTGCTTACGTCATTACTCCCAGCCCGGAGGTGCTCCACCGCCCTGAAGTTGTCTATCCGGGGGCGGCGGCGGGGAACTTAGTTTAAGTTTCCCTCACTTCTAAGCCTCCTTTTCCTCCTATGCAGAATTTTAATTACTTATCATTTAATACATTTATTTCGCGGCCTGTATCCTGAGATCTAAGGGCAGAGTGCCACAGTATAAAACAATTAAGTACTTTAAAACCTTTAAAAATCAATTAGACATGAGAACAACAATCGAGGATCCTCCACTACTGCATATTAAAGTCATGATAGTTAATTCTGAAGGCTTTGGTGCATAACTCTTTTTGGTGCTGAAATGAGGTTAACGTTGCTGCCAGTCGAGCCTGGAGGGAAGGCATTCCATAAGCAAGGTGCTGTCGCCGAGAAAGTCTGCCCCCCCGCCCCACTTCCCGTGTTTGAATATGAATGGTGATTCTCTATGGAGAGACATGGAAGAGGTCCTCCCCAGCAGATCTTGATGACTCGGTAAGCATACATAGGGAAAGACCCTCCCTCAACCATCCAGCCCCCAGGGCTATTTAGGGCTTTGTTAGGTTATCAACAACACCTTGAACTCAGACTGGAAGTATATTAGCAGCCAGTGCAACTGTTTTAGAACTGGTGTCATACACGTTTTGAAATGTATTCCAGCTGGCAGCGTAGCTGCTGCACATTGCACCCACTGCAGCATCGATGTTGTTTTTGAGGGCAGTACTTCACGAAGTAAATTACTGGTATAGTAGTCTCAGTACTGGGAGATTACTTTGTATACTGTTGCACAATTCTTATTCACAAGCTGCTTTTCTTACACAATGTCACAACTTGAAACTCAAAGCCAGAACAGCAGGGTAGTGGCATCCACCAGCTCCCATGGCTTGTTTTCCCACTGAAAATCATCCTCCTGTGCCAGTTGATATTCCCCTCCTGAATAGAAAATGTGCCGAACAGCTTAAAAATTCAGCCTTCCTTCCAGTGGGCAACCTTGGGGATTACGCTGTGAGAAGATGGATAGCAGTGGCAGAAAGTGTACACCTGTGTATCCATTTATTGGAGAAGTTCCAGTGGACTTGGTAGATACGTGATATGTTTATGTATGCATTTACTTATTTGATTTACAGTATATACCATCCCCATACTGCAAGCATGATCCTGGGCAGTTTACAGGCTAAAACTTAAAACACCCCAAGACCCCACATAATATGTATTTAAACAATATGGTTATAGAGCATCTTGGAAATTCAGTTGTTGATGGCAGCTTTTTCCATTTTTACAAATTTCCTGATCATAAGGAGCCTGACGTATCTCAATTGGTAACTTGTTCCAGAGACTGGAAAGGCCCATCAGCTTTTTGGCTTTCTTTGGTATGGCCACTTTTAGCAAAATGGATTGAGTTGATTTTTTGTAATATTTTGTCCAATGAAAAGTTCTAAAGATTTTTGAAAGCTTGCATAGGTGTATGTGCTTTTTAGGTTTTCTTTAAAGAAACAGTGATATTGATAGGTTCTGATACTGTGTTACAAAGAGCTGCGTTCATATGGGACTTAGAAAAGGAAATGTTTGTGAGTCCTATCCCCTAATTTTTCAGGGCTAGTGCCTTGTATGTTTGTTGTGAAAATTTGAAGCACATAGCTGTGGTTAGTGATTCATAGTTAACTGCGAAAACAGCATGATTTCATTGTGATTTCTCAAGTAGTCACCAGCCTGGATGCTAAATGCCTCCTCCAGGGCCCTGATAAAAGTGACAGAGAAGAGGAACAGTGCCAACAGATTCTGGTAACTTTTTTGAAAGAATAATGTAGGTACAGTATAAGCATTGAGGGCTTTCAACTAAACTTTAAACACTAAGATTCTGCCCTGGAATATGTGAGTTCATCATCATAATCATAAAACACTCAGCTTGAACATATGCACTTCCACCCATATAGTAATCATCAATGCCATGCCTCTGAAATATCTGGGATGCAGAGTGCAAACAGACTGGGATGCTGAGGCACAACTCAGCCCATTGATTTTATTTGCACTATTTGGTTTTAAAAAAAACACAAGTCTTTGTTACGGTCATTGACCAGCGTAAGGGAGATGGGATACAGTCAGTTGGTATGTCCATTGCACACTCGAATTAAACCATAACCCAAAATTAGACATCAATCTAAAACTTTAAAAAATTACCTCACATTCATTCTAATATAACTGGAATATTAAAATCCAGGAAGCAGTGAATAAAAGGAAAAGGATTATGAGGATTAAATATTGTGGCATTTAGAGGTTAGTGTATCCATGAATAAGAAGTACAGTCATAAAATAATTCCAAGTAATTATAAGTGTACAAATAAATATATGACATTAATCAAGCATTAAAAGGCATACGATTAAATATAAATACTAGTTTGTGATGTCAGTCATCGCCCGTTGAATTTTAATCGCAGCCACACAAAACCTAGGAACATTACATGTTGTAATGAAATTAACATCTGACAGCAGTAAGGAGGTATAAAATTGATCTGAATGTCACGGGTATTTATGGACTATTGGTAAGATGAGATGAGTTTGAATATCTCTATAAAATGAACATTGAAGGAGCACATGCTCTATTGATTCTATGTGGCCAGAGCCACAGGGACATTGTTTCTCCAAATAGGGGATCTGCCCTCAAGAACAGCTGAGGGGAGGGCATGACATCGTGCCAGAATAAAGGCTCTCCGATGGTTCGGCATCTCCAGTTTGGATAAATATATAATAGGGCAAGCAAAATACTGACTGGATTAATTGATAATAAGAGTTGGAGGTCTGGCTAAATCTAATTGTCGCTCTGTGTCTATTACCTGCTGTTTAATGAGCACTTTGACCTGGTCCTATCTCATACAGTGGGGTCTTGACTTAAGAACGGCTTGAGTTAAGAACATTTTGACTTAAGAACCGCTCTCATAGGAAAATATTGACTTAAGTACTTAGATTTGAGTTAAGAACTGAAAAAAACCCACGTGGGAGGCAGGGAAAGTGCAAAATGTGAACTTTCAGTTAACTGTTGGCCAGTGAAAAGGGTGCCTGTCTGCTTCCTCACTCCTCCCAGCGTTTAGAGAGTGGATTGGGAGACAGTCTTCGGACTGCCTGGTACTGGAGTGCCTGGACTGTATTTTCCCTGCCTTCCCTGAACCTTTTTTGATCCTTTCTTGACCTAAGAAAAAAAGAAACAAAATATCCCCCTCTAGTGGTCGAAGGCGGAATAGCAGCTTCCCATTAGTTTCTATGGACGGAAAAGAGCAGATACGGATCAAATGGTTTTCAATGCATTCCTATGGGAAATGCAGATTTGACTTGAGAACATTTTGACTTGAGAACCGCCTTCCAATACGGATTAAGTTCTCAAGTCAAGACCCCACTGTACTAAGTAGGACACCTGGGAAAAAACCCAAGGATGAATTTTTTAATACCACAGCCCTTTCCAAGTGGACTTAAAGTCATCTCTTAAAGTTACAGTAATGCGGCAAGGCCCAAGGGGTAAAGAGATAGTCTAGCGAATAATTAAGTATAACCACCCACACCCTAGCCTCTATTTTCCTAAGGCCCAGCTCTAGTCTCAGAGTGGAATTGGAGACACATTTTCAGACTTGTAGGGCCAATCTTATGAATTTGGATTGTGTTACCGCAAACCCGCATAGAATCCAGCAGAGTTAATATTTTCAGGTCCAGAAGGCATGAGAAATTATATACTTCTGCTCTGTTCTGTTCTGTTCTATTCAGGCCTATAAATTTTCAATACTCTGACAGATTGCATAAACTCTAGTGGTGCAAAATTGGAAGTGGGGCCTAACTGAGCTCCATACAGAAGTTGGGCTATTGACTTGGTTTCAAATAGTTTAAGTTCTGCAGGTATATAATAACCACCTCTTGACTTATTTAAGAATAGCCAATGAGTTTCTTTGTGCCACATCAGCAGCATAGTCCCCATGGGCTTTTCTACAACCGGTAGAAAGGAGGACTACTCCCAGATATTTGAAGGATAAAACCTGCTCAGTTTTATGGCCATCTATAATCCAGGAGTAACTTTTAGGTCTTTTGGCAAATGCCATGATTTTAGTTTTCTGGTAGTTAAGATGTAGTTGTTCTTCCTTGCAATATTGCTATGGCGACCATCCACAGCACTCATGTCATCATAGTCATGGGCTGATTTGCATGAACCTATGAGAGGGCTGGAGAGGCGGAGTCAGCAGCTACATGAGGCTTGGCAGGAGAAGGAGGAGTCAGAGATTGGGATGAGAGGCAGATAGAGATAGGTGTCATGAGTTCAGTCGTAGAAGATTTGGCATCTGAGGGGTTAATTTCAGCTGAGGAAAATACTGGCAATTAGAAGCACAGGCAGCCGAATCACCACCAGAATCTCCTCCCCCAGTAGCCAGAGTGAGAGACAAGCTTCGGCAAAGACTCGTGACATCTGATGGGTTCTGAGCTGTCTGTGACAGATCAGGAAAGAGATCTTGGTGCGCTGGTGAACAGCTTGATGAAAGTGCCAACCCAGTGTGCGGCAGCAGTGAAGAAGGCCAATTCTATGCTAGGGCTCATTAAAAATCAGCCTGAAAACAAAACAGCCAACATTATAATGCCCTTCTACAAAACGATGGTAAGGCTGCACCTGGAGTATTGTGTACAGTTCTGATTGCCACACCTAAAAATATAAAAAGACAGAGTGGAACTGGAAAAGG